TACTAAAGAAAATTTGATTAAAATTTATTCTAAAACTTTCTTATAAAATTATCAATTTTGCAACTTCATTTTAGTACTCATAACAAATTTAGTGAATATAGAACTCGTAAAAATTCTGCAACTATTAAAACAGATTGTTGATATGCAAAATTAGGTATCCAATAAAAAATATTCCCTTATAAGAAGCACAAACTTCATAAGAAGCGCAAACTTCATATTAATGCACAAAACAATTATAGTGTGCATTGCACACATAAAATGTGTGCAACCACCAAAAATGTGTGCAACCACCAAAAATGTGTGCAACCACCAAAAATATGCTATGCAAAATTAGATATCCATAGCAGACAAATATAAAACATTTTACCTTCATAAGAAGTGCAAATTTCATATTAATGCACATACTAAATATAAAGTATATATTACACATAATAAATCTGCTACTACCAAATATAGGTTGATGGTATATAAAATTAGGTACCTATAGTAACCAAAACTAAACTTATCACTTTCATAAGAATGGCAGACTAAGGAATAAAGCTAAGTAATTAGGTTTTGTTTGGAAAACAAGTCACAAAGTTGACTATCTGAGCAAGAGATTAAGAAAGCCAAAAAGTTATGAGCTTTAGTTTCAACAAAGTTAGTACAATAACAACAATATTGATTAAAAACAACAACAATAACAACAATATTGACTTAAAAAAAAGGGCTTGCTCCATTTGGTAAGAAACAACATCAAAAAAATTGCAGTCTCAGGAAGAAACTTAATATCTTGTAAACCACTACCTCTCTTGTAAACCACTAGGTCTTTTGTGTACCACAACATCTCTTGTATACCACTACATCTCTTGTAAATTACTACATCTCTTTCTTGTATACCACTATACCTCTTGCATACCACTATATATCTTGTAAACTAATGCCTCCAAACTGTACAAACAATAGAATGTTATATCTTGTAAACTAATGCCTCCAAACTGTACAAACAAAGAATGTTCCAAACTGTTTGCACAGTTTGGAACATTCAATAACAAAGAATTATGTTTATTGTAATTTACCAGAAATTATTAAAAATATAAACTTTGTAAAATAAAATTTAATATAAATAAAAACAATATATCCATTATAATTTATTTTTAATTAAAAAAATTATTAATTCAATTTTTGATATGTTGATAATGTAAATAAATTTAATTATTTTTATTTTTTACTAAAATTTTAATTTAAATTATTTTTATTTTTTACTAAAATTTTCATTTTAATTATTTTTATTTTTTACTAAAATTTTCATTTAAATTATTTTTATTTTTTTACTAAAATTTTCATTTTAATTATTTTTATTTTTTACTAAAATTTTCATTTAAAATTATTTTTATTTTTTTACTTAAATTTTCATTTAAATTATTTTTATTTCCAAAAGTTTTGTTTTAAGAGTTACTGTTCAACTAAAAATGTGATGAAAAGTACAGCTGGGACTAGGAATCAAAATATGATATTTGCTAAAAATAAATTTAAACTAAAATAAAAATAAAGATTCTACAAAACCTATAGCATATTTTGAAAGATGCAATAAAAAAAGAATGGAGTTCTGGTAACCATGGAAGCATTTTGTTTTAGTAATTTTTTTTTTACTTTTAATGAAATTTTTTTGATTTTTTTAAAAAGTGTTTTGAAAAAAAAAAGTGTTTCGATGAAAAAAAAGTCTTGATGAAAGAAAAAAAAGTGTTTCGATGTGAACTAAAAAAAAAATAATATATTGGGTTTTGAGATTTCAGTAGCGCAATTTGTTTTCAAGTATAAATCTTAATTAAATTTTTATATTAAAAAGTTAGCATACTATAATATCTACATCTTAACAAAATACATATTATTATTTGTGTAAGAAAATGTTATATCAAATTTAATTTTTATTAATAAATTAGAAAATTTTTTTTGACAAACTTCTCTGGTTATACAGAACCACTTTATCTACAGAAAAAAGAAAAAAGAAAAAATATTTAGGAAGAGTTAAGAGTATATAAAAAAAATTAGAAACACTCAAAAAGAGTACACAGCAGAGAAAAAAAACGGGAAGAGTTCAGGGTAAATAAAAAAAAACACTAAAATAAAAAGAAAAAACGGGAAGAGTTCAGGGTAAATAAAAAAAAACACTAAAATAAAAAGAAAAAACGGGAAGAGTTCAGGGTAAATAAAAAAAAACACTAAAATAAAAAGAAAAAACGGGAAGAGTTCAGGGTAAATAAAAAAAAACACTAAAATAAAAAGAAAAAACGGGAAGAGTTCAGGGTAAATAAAAAAAAACACTAAAATAAAAAGAAAAAACGGGAAGAGTTCAGGGTAAATAAAAAAAAACACTAAAATAAAAAGAAAAAACGGGAAGAGTTCAGGGTAAATAAAAAAAAACACTAAAATAAAAAGAAAAAACGGGAAGAGTTCAGGGTAAATAAAAAAAAACACTAAAATAAAAAGAAAAAACGGGAAGAGTTCAGGGTAAATAAAAAAAAACACTAAAATAAAAAGAAAAAACGGGAAGAGTTCAGGGTAAATAAAAAAAAACACTAAAATAAAAAGAAAAAACGGGAAGAGTTCAGGGTAAATAAAAAAAAACACTAAAATAAAAAGAAAAAACAGGAAGAGTTCAGGGTAAATAAAAAAAAACACTAAAATAAAAAGAAAAAACGGGAAGAGTTCAGAGTAAATAAAAAAAAACACTAAAATAAAAAGAAAAAACGGGAAGAGTTCAGGGTAAATAAAAAAAAACACTAAAATAAAAAGAAAAAACGGGAAGAGTTCAGGGTAAATAAAAAAAAACACTAAAATAAAAAGAAAAAACAGGAAGAGTTCAGGGTAAATAAAAAAAAACACTAAAATAAAAAGAAAAAACGGGAAGAGTTCAGGGTAAATAAAAAAAAACACTAAAATAAAAAGAAAAAACGGGAAGAGTTCAGGGTAAATAAAAAAAAACACTAAAATAAAAAGAAAAAACAGGAAGAGTTCAGGGTAAATAAAAAAAAACACTAAAATAAAAAGAAAAAACGGGAAGAGTTCAGGGTAAATAAAAAAAAACACTAAAATAAAAAGAAAAAACGGGAAGAGTTCAGGGTAAATAAAAAAAAACACTAAAATAAAAAGAAAAAACGGGAAGAGTTCAGGGTAAATAAAAAAAAACACTAAAATAAAAAGAAAAAACGGGAAGAGTTCAGGGTAAATAAAAAAAAACACTAAAATAAAAAGAAAAAACGGGAAGAGTTCAGGGTAAATAAAAAAAAACACTAAAATAAAAAGAAAAAACGGGAAGAGTTCAGGGTAAATAAAAAAAAACACTAAAATAAAAAGAAAAAACGGGAAGAGTTCAGGGTAAATAAAAAAAAACACTAAAATAAAAAGAAAAAACGGGAAGAGTTCAGGGTAAATAAAAAAAAACACTAAAATAAAAAGAAAAAACGGGAAGAGTTCAGGGTAAATAAAAAAAAACACTAAAATAAAAAGAAAAAACGGGAAGAGTTCAGGGTAAATAAAAAAAAACACTAAAATAAAAAGAAAAAACGGGAAGAGTTCAGGGTAAATAAAAAAAAACACTAAAATAAAAAGAAAAAACGGGAAGAGTTCAGGGTAAATAAAAAAAAACACTAAAATAAAAAGAAAAAACGGGAAGAGTTCAGGGTAAATAAAAAAAAACACTAAAAAACACCCAAAAAAGAAAAAGTACTCAGTAAAAAGAGGAAAGAAAAAGGGGAAAGAAAAAGGGGAAAAAAAAAGATGAAAAAAAAAATGCATTAATTTAAGGCCAGCTTTTTTATAGCTGGCCTTAAATTAATTTTTGAAACTATTTTTTTATTGTTTAATAAAAGCAGATAAATATACTTGTGAAATTATATCATGAACAATTGAGAACCTTGAACAATTAAAAATCCAGAACAATTGAGAATACTGAACAGTTGAGAATCCTGAGCAATTGAGAATTCTGGACAATCGAGAATCCTGAATAATTGAGAATCCTAAACTAGATTTCAATCTGATAAAAAAACAGAATTGATTATACATACAATCTACATACTAGGAAATTAAATAATGAAGCAAAATATATTTTTTTTATTCAGACATTCAAAACTTCATAAAAGTTAGAACCACTTCAAGAAAAAGTTTGCAAATTTAAAATAAACTTTTTTTATTTTTTTCCAAAATTTTGTTATTTTTTTACAAAAAATAAATTTTTTGGTAAAATTATAAATCTATAAGAAAATTTTATACTACAAAATTTGTTTATAGATTTATAATTTTACCAAAAATTATAAAAAATATATATCTATAAAAGGTGGAATAATTTTTTGATGAAAAACTCATTTTCAATACATCCTTAATGTATGGGAAATTTGAATGACTTAAATTTAGTTGTTCAGTGTAGTGCATTTGTGTGTGTTAAGGGGAGGAGGGAGTTGGTCAGGGGGAAAGTGCACCCAGATTCTAATCATTAAAAAATTTCAATGACAATATATTTTTATTATATTTTATTGTATTTATTATTTGACATAAGTATAAACATAAAACACATGAAAAGATTTGTTAACTGTAAAAAAAAATTTTTCAACAACTGATATATTGCATAAATATAAGTGTCAATTGTATTACCAAATCGTTTTTAAATTGCAAAACACTACAAAAAAAACTCAAATTAAAATATAATTTTACATAAGAATATAAGTCGCAGTTTGAAATGTTATTTCTTATAAGTTATGGTACCAGACAATCCACCATAATGGATATTTCATTTTATATCAGTTATCTTTTATACCAGCTATCTGTTTAGTGTAATTTTATGTAGCAACTTAATAAAAAGGTTTCAAAGCGTTGATTACAATAAATCATCATATTTCAGTTTTAGAAGAGAATTATGGGAAACCTTACCTACAAAAATATGGAAGATAAAAAATTATCACAATATAGGATAAAAAAGATTATTTTAATTAATATGGAACAATATCAATAAAAAATGTACTTACCAATGAGCTAATAATTGCTGAAACATTTAGTAAGGTTTCCTCATCATTCCATCTTAATAATCCATTCAGATTTACAAGAAATATGCTGACAACATCAGCATTATCTGAAATCATCCACTCAATTAGCTGATTCTTACATACTTCGTTGTTAAATAGTGTTCCAATAACATATGCAGCAGATCCTGAAAAACTGTATATATAACATTACTTATTATTAATTATTTCAAACAACATGTACATAGAAATAGGCACAAGGTCTTTGGATAAAAAAATAAAACAATTTAATATTCACTCTCAATAATATGTATGTATGAATGTGCAATTCTTGAGCAATTGATTGCTCAATTCTTGAGCATGGCTGTTTATCTGATATCATTACAAGAAAAATATTTTCTTGAGAGAAAAAAAAATGCATTTGCTTGAACAACTTTGTCTACTAACTTACTCAATGAGGCTGGCGAATGCAGTGTTTGATTACCATGAATGAAAGAAGACTCCTTCTTTATAATGAACTAAACAAACACTTATAAGAAATGTTGCTATAGTTACTAAGTTTTATGTGGAATTGCTGGGAGAAACCAGTATATATTTTGAGGATCAAGTTAGCAGTGGCGAGCCATCAAGAACAAATAACCCAATTTAGAGGATTTAAAGTTTTAAATCAAACAATCTTATAATATAACTCTTGCTTCCAGTGTTTATGCAAATTCCATCACAGCCCAGCACTTGCAAATTATCAAATTATCATAAACCATGCAAAGTTTTATAATAAATAGAAATATTTTATCATGAACCAGCTCAAATATTACAATATGTCCCTCATTTAAACATGTCAATTAAAATTTTTCATTTAACTATTTCATTCAATTCAAGTATTTCATTGAGGGACAATAAAAGATTTGTAAAGAATTGAATCAGGAGCAAGATAATGGCAAAGTGAAACTTGTTGATAAATTGTAACTTCAGCAGATGCTAACTTAGCAATTAATTGTATATAAAGTTTTCTATGAGAGGTCAGTAGTTAACAATAATTTAAAAGGTTGTAGAGAAAAGGACTCAGAAGGTTGCTTTTCATTAATATAGGAATGTCTACAGTATTATGATAGTTGTTGGTTGATAATTTGTTGAGTTTTGTTAGAGTTAAAATTCACAAGCTATTGCAAGCGCTAATCTATTACAAAAGAATAAGCCACAATCTATGAGAGGTCAGCAGTTAACCACAATCTATGAGAGGTCAGCAGTTAACCACAATCTATGAGAGGTCAGCAGTTAACCACAATCTATGAGAGGTCAGCAGTTAACCACAATCTATGAGAGGTCAGCAGTTAACCACAATCTATGAGAGGTCAGCAGTTAACCACAATCTATGAGAGGTCAGCAGTTAACCACAATCTATGAGAGGTCAGCAGTTAACCATAATCTATGAGAGGTCAGCAGTTAACCACAATCTATGAGAGGTCAGCAGTTAACCACAATCACAGTAAGAGCAATAAGCACTACAGCTGTCATCTAAACATTTAAAATTTTTCACTGTAACACTGTTACAGCTGTCATCTAATGCACATTAAAATTTTTCACTGTAACACTGTTACAGCTGTCATCTAATGCACATTAAAATTTTTCATTCATAACAGTTAGCAACTCAGAGATCAAAAGATCAAAAACTGATTGTCTGACAGTAAGTTATTTGACTCAAGATGAGTTATTTTTAGTTAATGGTGTTTTTGTTGTTGCTTTATTAAAATATATTTATAAAACATGCCCGGAGTGTTACTACATCGACTATCTAATAGACTGCTGCTGCAAGAGAGTGTTGCTACATGGACTATCTTATAGCCTGACTCGCAACGGAGTGCTACTACATTAACTATCTTAGAGCCTGATTATCATCTGCATATGGTTTGAGATCAAATAACTTAGGTATTTATATTGTGTAGCGAATGCGAGAATCATGTTAGGTAATGTAAAACAAGGGGTATTTACCAGGGGTTAATAACTTTTAAAAACCTTTATTTGAAACTTAATATTGTTACAAGCTATATCATGTTTCACAGCATAACCAGAGCATAAGTCAATAAGTTCTGGCCTTTGGCTGACAGTGCACACAGGACAATATCATGCAGTACAACTCCTTGTCGTACTTCATTACTGATGGTAAATATTTTTAATAATCATTTCATAAGATCTGAGCTGTTTGATCAGTATACCAGACAATGAAAAGTGTAAAAAAAACAACAGAGATAATTTTAAAAAGTTTCATAAATAATGTGTCAAAGCGTAGTCTATCAAAAGTTTTACTAATGTCAATGAATGCTACATGCATATTTGTATGTCTTATAATATGAAACTAATTATAAAATTATTATGATGATTTCAAATTATGAGGTAATTTTTAATTTATTTAGTTTAATTTTTCCATCTTGTTGAAGGTCTATCATGCTTGTAAGGATGTTTTTATTCAAGAAGTATTTTATCCTAAAATCTGGGACACCTATAAACATAAATTTTATATTTAATATATGCTTTAACTCTTAAATATTTTAAGGACTGTTACATTTTATGACCCATTTTCACTATATAAAAAACATCGAAGGTTTTCAGTTAGGTTTTTCAATCATGTACCAAATATTACTTGAAAATTCATTAGATGTCATTGTAATAAAATTACACTGTCTAAAATGTAGATTTAAACTATATAGTGTAAACTTCAGTATATACTAAAATGCTAAACTTCAGTACTTTATATAGTGTAAACTTCAGTACTAAAATGCTAAACATAAAGTCTACCTTTTATCTAATTTACCAAGTAACTGAAAGAGCCCAGAAACCACCTCCCTCCATTTTTGATGGTTCATCATTTGATAACAATACAGTTCTGAAGTGTAGATATTTTCCATTATTTTAACTGCACAATCCAAAACAGAAAGTGTGTGTATGTTTTCACTAATTAAACAAGTTATCTGATTAATTCCAATGGTTTCAATTTCATAAGTTTGAACTTCATTGGCTTCGATTGTTGTAATCATATCTCTTTACTAACTATTATACACAAATTTTATGATATATGATAAGCTAAGAAACTTTTTAAAATACTTTCTTATACACAAATAACTTATCACATTCACATTAATTGTATAAATAAACAGTTACTTTGCTAACTAATGACTAATAACTTGTTGCTAAACTTTAGCAACAACTAACTTTTTTATGTTAAAAAACAAATTTAATTTAACTTGTAAAAGTCCTGGAAAATTATTTTCAAAAACATATTCGCAAAACTAAAACATCGTTTTTTAAGAGAATGGTAAAATGACAACTTATGAAATTTTATATATATATATATATATATACATATAAATATATATATATATATATATATATATATATATATATATATATATATATATATATATATATATATATATATATATATATATATATATGTGTGTGTATATATATATATATATATTCACAGACATATACTCTTTTTAGATTCCAATTCTTGCATATTATGTTGTTTTTGTGTTAGTTATTAAAAACATAGAAACCCTAATATGTCAATAATAGAACGTCAATAGAATTAAACAATGCTATTAAAAATTTATTATGATGTTTATATACTTTTAAGAAAGATTAAATAACGTGTTTGCATTTAAAAATGATTGAAAAGCATGAAACCACAAGTTCCTGAATAAGACAGGTAAGAGAGTAAAAACAGTTTGCAAAATATGGTAATAATAATCATTACTTAATGACTAAAGTGTTTAACTGGCTATTTATAATCCAAAATAGAAATTGTTTTGTTTATTAAAAAAGCTTCGATTTTTTTTAATTACAAAACTATTATAAGTAAAATGTTTATTAATAACTTATTGAGGATTAATTAGACAGACCACAGACATGATCTACCTAAAAACTATTGTCTTGCTTGAAGATGTTATGTTTTATGTTAACATTAACTTAAATCACGGTGTGAGACAAATCTAATAAAAACAATATACTTAACGCCATACCACGTTGTTAACATACCTAAACCTTTGCAACCACAAGATTTTAATACTTTAAACTTATATTTACAATACACATTTTTTTAACATTTTTATTTAACCATTATTTTTATTCAAGAAATTTATTCTTTTTGGAAATTAATAACTATTCTAGATTAACATACGTATAAATTGTTTAAAACTATACATTTGCTAAATATTTTAATTCAAAAAGGAAAAAAGACATTAAATTACTAAATAAATTCCCGTATGAGTAATACGAGGATAATCTTGTTTATTAAATCGCGTCATATATTGATTTAAAATTTTCATTCTACATGAAAAAGTAAATGATAAGCACTTTTGTTTATAGTTTCCTTTTTCTCAACTGCGGAGATAATAATCGCTAAAACTGTTTTTGATTGGTTATAAACAAAGATTGTCGCGATTTCATTGGTTTATGTTATCAAATGAACTTCACGTGCTTTTACCGCCCTTTGAACGCTGCACTCATTCATTAAATAGACTTTCGATGTGTTGTGTTAGACTCGTATCTACGATTCAGCAATAGTTTCAAGATAATAATAAGTATGGAAAAAATAATCGAGATATCTCTTGCTAAAATTGAGAGTTGTAAATCAAGAAAAGTTAGTGGAAAATCTACAACATTGCATAAAAGTTTACTTGTAAATACGTTATTAAATCGTGTTAGATGTGGAGAACTAGAAACAAAAGATCCGTTAATGAACTACAGAGAGCCAAAATCTCTTTTTGACATGGATATTGATGATATTGAAAACGAAAAAATTCCTTCACAATTAAATACTGAAAAAATAAAGTTTTCACCTTCCCAACAAAAATCAAGTTCGTTAATCGTCAAGTTGAATACGCGATCTATAGGGATTGATAAACTAAATACATCATGTTCGATCGGAGTTGAAACAAAACTTAAAAAAGAATTAATATTGGAAAATAGTTCTTTTGAATATTTAGACTGTTCTCCAATAAATATTTCTTGTGAATGTTCGCTAACTAATACATGCAACAAAGTTGTTAAAAGACCTCATATTGAGCTAGATATTGACAATGTTCCTGCTAAAAGGAAGTGTTATACTCTCTGGACTAATAACATCAATTCTAGTTCACAAGATTCCTGTTATACTATTTCAAGTCTAGCAATTTTATTTGGGGACTTAGTAGCACATACGGAAACCGAGAATGATAATATTAAATTAGGGAGTACGTTTGTTACACCAATGATGGCTTATTAAGTTAGTTAAAGGTATTTGACGTGTTATCTAACAAATCATCAGTTGAATAATGATGCGAGAATTCTAACAATTTGGTTTTAAATAAATTTTTGGAAGTGTGTGCATTTTGAAAGAGTATGTTTTGAACTTTCTCGATGTCTAATCTCTTGGTTAGTTAATGCAGTCTCTCTTATCCGATCATTGCTTATTAATGAAATAAGCTGAAATTTTTATTGTTAAAAAAAAACGATTTCTATATTGTGTTTAAAAATTGATGTTTGATTTGAAATCATCTTCGGTTTGAAAGCTTGTGAAACGCCTCAGTGAGTTTTTGAAAATCAACAAAGCTATATAACGCATTTCAATTAAAACAAAAACAGCTTAAATATTTTATAAAGCGTTTTTATTTTTATTTTATTGAAAGCTGGATTTAAAGATACTTATATCAGCAGGTGTGATTTTGATTGCCGCATGTTATCGTTGCCTGTCTCGCCTATTACCAAACGATTTCTAAAGCACTTTTTTCACAATACTAGATAAAACATTTTTAGTATTTATCTCGTTATCTCAAATGTAGCAAGTAAAGCTTGATTTTTTTTTTTTTTTGAACTTGTAAATATCTGCAAAATATAGTAATGTAAATTAAGTTTATTGCCGGATGGTTTCCTGATGCTTTTATTGAGTTATTTTATAAAAAAAAAATTTCAAATATGTCAAATATGTTTGGCAATGTACAATAGTCTATTAAAAAAGTTTGTTTTATAGAAAACATGTAAATAAATGATGAATAAAATCTAAAAAAAAGCAATGAAATCGAAGTATATATTTTGTTTTGATATCGCTATTACTTATGTCGTTGGCATTTAATATTGCAGGTAAACTTAAAAAGAGTTAATTTTAAAAGGTATTTAATGCTTGTCCTGAAAATAGATTTGAATGGACAATTAGTATTTATGATATACATATTTATATATATATATATATATGTGCACAAGTTAAATATATGTGAAACTATCTCAATGTTTAGGTCTAAAAATGTTATAAAATTTAATCCGTCTCTTGTGTTGTGTAAAGATTTGAGAAAGCGTGTGATATTAGTTTGTCAATTAATGGTTTATTATTAAAATATTTTTGAAGCTTATAATCTCATTACATTATAAGATGAAAATCTTCGACATTCTGCCAAACTATATAAGCCATGGCTTTATATTTCCGCAATTTCAAATTGACAAACGTTTTAAAATAATCTATTAGAAGTTACACGATTAAATATACAATCAATCGAAATAAATCGTACGGTTTTTAATTATTAACGGGTTATTTAAATTCTCCTACTGTTTGTTTAAAAAAGGAAATCCTTTCCTTTAAAACACAAAACAATTGTCGCCATCTTAAGTTAATGCGTTTGCGTCATGTCTCTATACGGGTTAATTTTTTAAAACACGTATTTACGTCTTCACTGCGGTTAACATTATCATAATTCAAAAGATATTTTTTTAGGAGATTAAGTATTTTAAATTTATTTTAACCACTTGATCTGTGTCTATGAAGTGTCTAAAAGTTATGAATGACGTAGTTTAACAAAATGGTTGCAATAAAAAACTTTTGGTATTCTTCAAAACGTGCTCAATTTTTAAAAAACAATTTTAAAAAAACAATTAAGAATGTAATAGCAATTAAAATTAAAACCTTCTAGGTTTTTTTTTTTTTTTTTAATTTTATCAGGGGAATTCTCTTTTCCAACCTTGTATTATTTTTTTAATACACTATTTTATAAAAAACCACAAAAGTTGTAAGCTATTACTAATTCAGTAAATATTTTTTACTTAAGATAGTATAAAAATTTAAATAAAAAAGTAAATTTTGTGATGAAAGATGTTTTTAAATTTTCACATTATAAATATACTCAAATATATATTTAAATATAAATACATTTAAATATAAATATATCATAAATCGTAACTTTCTTTGAACAAGTTTGAAACGTCACGCTCATAGGGGGAGAGGGGTTAGTGGTTTTGTGACAACTCATACAAAACTTGCAACTAGTGTTACGATTTAATGACGAGGGGGATGGGGTAGGTCAAAATCGGTCAAAAGTTGTGTGACGTAACTTATTGACTCCTTACATGAATAACAAGCTCAGACTCGGCGCTATTAATCAATCTGTGGCCAATTCATACCAAAAGTTTTTGAACTTTTTAAATTTTGAAATGGCAATAACTATTTTATTTTTAAATAGTTTTTCGATAAAATACTGCAATTGATATTTAAAAATTGTGTTGTAACTTTTCATTCAAAAAGAATGAGCACAAAGTTTTCTTTTTTTATTTTATTACATATACATTTATAAACATAGGCCTAAAACCCGGATATGGTTCAAAATATTTGGTGAAAGTTGAAAGTATATAAGTTTATAAAAAGTTTTTACAATGGGTAACATTTAAAGCCCGTAATTTAGGCTAGAACCACATGTTTTTTAGAGTAATTCAACCATTTCTTCAAATCTAAAAAACCGCCTGCTCATAGTTTAAGAAGCAAGCAAGTTTAAGAAGCATGCAAAGTAGTAGTTAACCAAGCCCCACCGCGTTTTACGCCTATGTTTACATAAATTGCTTTCAATAACTATTTTTAAAAATAAAATTTCTTTTATACAGAAATATAAATTTGTTTTCAAATATCTTAAATAATAATAGCTATCATTAAAAACCAACGAAAATTCATTTCATAAAAAGAAGAACTGGAAAATGTTTTATTTTACCACAAATAAATAAATAGTTTTGAATGTTAAAAGACAACGTTTTCCAAACACATCATTTAAAACCAAGGAATCAATCAAGCACTTATAAATATATATCATTAAACACAAGTGCCATATTGATCCAGTGGTTAAATTAATCGTTTACTAATTAATTGTTTGCTGCGTAAACGGTAGCGGGTTGTTAAAGCGAAAAATGTTGAAGCGAATTTTTGCTCAATACTT